CTCTCTCTCTCTCTCTCTCTCTCTCTCTCTCTCTCTCTCTCTCTCTCTCTGTCTGTCTCTGCCTGAGAAAGGAGGCAGTGAGCAGAAGAACAGAGTGAGGAGAGGACATGAGGGATATGGAGGTGCTTCTGGTCCTCAGACTGTGTTGTAACTGCACATACGGTAACGACTGCATGATATGAGCTGCCGCCGCTCAATGTAGGCGACTTGGGAGTGCTGTTTTTCCTTTTTCTTGCCATTTTTCTAGAATGACATCGTCGCTGATTCTACGGTAGATTGGTAGTGCACTGTGTTTGCTGATGTGAAGTTGGGACAAGGGTTGATTCGGGATACCGGCATAACTGATGGGTATTTGGACCTTTGTGAAGTGATGCTCGTGATGCACAAATAGTAACTGTCTGCTAATGATGTTGCATGTACATGTAGCTCACGTAATGAAGTGATAAAATTAGTTTCTTTTGAAGCGTTCTTTTGTGTGTCTGCTGAGTGATGATCCGTTAGAATATGTAGCTCACCAGGACTGTCAGACTGCAATTGTTTATGTCTTTTAATTAAAATACAGGATATACAGCTTTTTTTTTTTTTTGAATGTGTGTGTGTTTAAAAGCAGAGCACGTTTGGTCTGTATAAGGACTGCTGCCCCCAGACTGCTCCTCATAGGGAATACTTATCACCAGAGGATTGGGACAAGTCTGATCAGTGTGTGAGCGAGTTTATGTGTTAGGCAGCTGGTTGTGCTCTGGCAGTACCTTGCCAACTTAAGCTGTTTTGGGGGAATTGGCACAACTGAACCAGGGGATAGACCTCCAGAGGAAAGAATGAAATGTGCTCTATCCAAACATGAAGAGCAAATGATGGGGTTTTGTTTGGCTGAGAGAGGGTGGGTGAGTGTTCACATGTGTGTACCTGTGAAGTGTTAATTAATGCACCATAAATGAGGGGGGAAAAAACAAACATGCTGGTTGTTATAATCACACCAGTTTCTCATTTTCACTGCTGAGACTGTGCTATATCACACTACTATATGACTGGTCTGCTGTACCATAGGTTACCATGGTAGATAAGTAGCATGAAGCTGGTGTCATATTCCCTCAACAATCAGTGTTTGTCAGCACCCAGGGCAGTTGCTTTGATTACTGTTTGTATTGCGGTTCCTTAATTACTTGGTGCGGTAGGCGAGGGGTTTCTCTGGCTCAGCTCAGCTATTGTTTCCTCTTTCTTTTTCCTTCATATGTTTTTTATCATGCTTTCCTCCCCGTGCTCATCCACCCATCCTCCTCGCCTTTAACATGATCTAACTGGACCCCAGCCAAATGAACTGACTTGTGCTTTTGTGTGTTTTCTTCAGTCAAATAAGTCAATTTGTCAGGCTTGTTTACATACTGGTTTATCTGCCAGCCACTTTCTAATGAATAGATGCATACAGAAACACAAGTACTAAATCAAACATCTGACATCCTGTTTTACATGTAAATGGGGACTCCTGCTCCGTACCCCGACTGTTTTCTCTCCATTTTCTTAATCCATACATACCCTCTCCCTATCTGTCATTCTGCCATCTTCATTTTCCCGCTCTGCCCTCCTCATCCTCGACATGGTTCATGCCTAACACTGGTGTCGGCTGAATGTCTTGCCAAATAAAGTTGGCAGTCCCCGTGTCCTAGCTGTAGACCGGTGCAGTATGTGTCAAAGACTTTGGTCTACCCCTCCATAGAAAAGACAAACTGTCTGTCTGTCAGCCAACTCGTCCAGGCGACCTTGAGAACAGGACCAATCACAGGCATCCCACTGTGACAGGTCATCGACTTCCAATAATCTGCTTCTCTGTCTGATTCTCCCTCACTATCTTCTCATCCTCTCGTCCTGACTTTTGACTGAACTTTGAACTTCGCTGTAGAAGGTGTTATTGATCTTTCTGTAGCCATTGAGCGACCTTGTCCAGGCTGAAATATCTCAACAACTGTTTGATACGTTGTAATCTCTCAGTGGGCTTCGGTTTCATGCAGGTAAACAGTCCATGTGGGGAGTCAAAGAGGTTAAACACAATGGCCGAAATGCAATGTCATCTCTCGACTCCAACTCCGTAGAGAATGTGAAGGTGACTTCACAAGGTGTTAAATCTTTGCGAAGGGGCGCCATCTTGTATGGATCACACCGTGTTATTGCGCCTGCTACATGGTGAAGCAACGATATTTGGACAAACTATTTAAGATAAACAACATGGATCCATATGACTTGGCAGCCCAAGGCTGGATTATATACCCTGATGCACTAACGCCACTCACATAATTCATAAACTATCTCATTTTTGGACTGAGTGCATACACTTTGGTTATAGGGAGAACAGAGCATGTACTTCAAAAGATGGCAGGCGCGTCCTTTACAGTGTTACGTACCTTCAAGTTTTCTGCTCTTGCATCTTAAGTTGCTAATCGGACTGTAAACAATGATCTTTGCACAGAAAAAGAAATCTTGGCACACTGTACAAATGTAGTCTATTTTCCATTTACTATATCCGTTATTAAGAAATGCGCTGGCCACACCGGAACTCCAGGGGCTAAACTGTCATCAGACTGACAGTACATTGGTTCCAAAAATTGTGAGGATTACAAGGAGATTTTGTACAAACATTCATGATCCTCTGAAGATGAATAATACTGACTTTGACGATCCCATAACTTTCCATCTATCCCCATCTCCAGGTCAAAATTTGTCCAATACTTTATGACCAAATACCTGCAAACTAATGACATTCCTATAAGCCCCATCAGTACTTTGTGTTTAATGCCAATTAGCAAGCGTTACATTCTAAACCAGTGAACATTATTATTGTTAAATCTCCTTAGAGCTAGAGTGCTGGACTTAAGTATATAAATGAACGACCGTTACATCCAAGCCCTCGCAAAACCTGCCTAGGATAGCTCTCTGTATTTCACTGTATTCCAATTTGTGGTGTCTGGTGTCGCTGGCGACTTCTCCTGAGCTGCTGCACCAGAAATAATTAGTTTTACGTCAACCTGCCAGAGCCAGAGGGAACAGGGGACACCAATGCAACAGAGTGGCAGCTAGGAGTCTGGCAGAAGCTAGCTAAGAAGCGTCCAAAAAAAGGTATGGATGCTCCAGATAAAAAAACAAACTTGGTGTTCAGAGAAAGGATTTTTTTTCTATAGTTTGTTTGCTTGTGGGTCTATAGTTTTTTTTTTTTTTTTGTGCCAAGTGTTTCTTGTTTTTTTGCTCATTTTGTTTAATTTGAATGAGAAGTGTCAATTTTTTAGTTGATGAAGTAGGGGAGGAGGACTCAAATAAACTAAATTAAACTTGAGACTAAAAACAACTTGAAAAGAATGCTCCCAGGGACGGGGAGATGTGGCGAGTTCGCCTGCAGGCATACGTCTTAAGCATGCGTTGATAGTGTTTGTGTACTTACTGTCGCTGCCAGAGGGGGGAGACAAATGTCTTGCACTGCTGCTTTAACTTTCCATCTAGAACCATCTTCAGGTCAAAATTTCCCCAATATTTTACTTTCTGATCAAATACCTGCAAATAAAAATGACATTCACATCAGCCACAGCTGAACTGTGTGATTAGTGCTAATTAGCAACTGTTAGCATGTTAACATGCTGAACTTAGGAACATGGGAATTGTTACCAGCTTAACATTGACGTTGTCACTGTGAGCATGCCGCCTGACTGCATACAGACTCTTGTTTTCAAATAGATCCCAGTTGCAGTAGAATTTCAGACACACAGCACAAAGCGGGACATAAATAATCAATACATGATGTACTGACTTGTACAACCAGCTAGCGTACTCCCAACTGATGTCCTCAAATGTACTGCACTAACAAAACTGGAAGTAAAATTGTACCCATGGTAACCTAAAGTCACCTAAAGTAGCTGTACTTGAGGTGAATATAAACCTGCACTCACACAGAATTAGAGGAGTTTTCAGCCCTTGCAGACAGAGCAGGTCATGTAGTAAATCCTCCAGGAGGTAACGGTATTGGTTCAGTGAACCAGGACCGTAGATGGAGGCCGCATTATTAATGACCATAGGGTGGAGAAACTTCAAAGAGCATCAGCAAGACCCTCTAGAAGATTCTCTTTGGTCTTATATAGTAGCTGGGTGTGTGAGTGTGTGTCCGTGTGTATTTGAGCATATGAGGATGTGTAAAGTTTAATATGACAAGCCCTATCAGTAGATCCGAACATGTTCCCTGTAGGTTTCTGCTCGCGCCCTTTCATTTCTCTTAGTTGAAGGAGGAGGCGAGAAGAAAGGAGGACGAACACTTAAAAGTAAGCGTACAGAGGCGGAGAAGAAGTGAGAGACAGCACGTCCGTACTACTGTACAGCTGATGGGAGCGATGTTCAGTGGTTTAAACAGATGAGTGTAGCACTGTTCCTGCGTCTCTGTGGGAGCGGAGCACTGTCTGTCTGAGACAACCTGCCCTGCATACAGAAGGCACAGCACTTCTCTTTGTTTCACCTGGCTAGCTTTTCTTCCCTTGGTTTTAAAATCAGTCGCTTTAAGTCTGCACTGTAATGAATGGAGATTAGCTTGATCATTTAGTGGAACGCTGTCAGCTGGTTTCCAGATTCTTGTGCTCTTGCTGATGTGGTTTGCTTTTATTGCATAGCCTTTTTTGATTTCTGAGTGCATGTGCGGAAAAACATTATTATACATTGTTTTTTTACAATGCTTCGTGACACCGGTGGCATTATTATTTTGAGACCTTGAGACGTTTTTGGCATTTCATTAGATGACTGCTGCAATCCAGGTCTGACTTCTTCTTTTACATCTGTATGTGTGCTTGCTTCTTATTTGTGTCTCCCCAGGGGTTCTCACATCTGCCACCCTGCCTGCCGCCCACCCCCATTTTTTCCATTTTCTTTCCATCTTTCCCCTCTGTCCTGTCTGTGGGAGTTTCTCACCCAGAGCTGTCATGTGTGTCAGACCTGCCGCTGTTCGCATCAACCCCGCAGCAAAGCCGGAAACCAGCCAAGTGTGGTGGTGCAGGCTTAAACTTTGATTTGGAGATAGGAGCAGTGCTGTTTGGGCACGTGTCTGTGGTTGTTGCACTTTCTATATAAACATGCTTTCATTTGTGCTGTTTTTGTGTGCCTCAGTGTTATTCAGAGGGACTCTTAAAGTCCATCGTCCAGGCTGTAGTTTACCTAGTAGCAGCCTAAATATGCAGTGGAAGCAAACTGTTTGAGAACCAATAGGAGACTGCAGCATCGACCACGGAGGTGGACTGCATGTTAAGCAGCCTGGCTCTGGACTTCTGTGTGTGTGTGTGTGTGTGCCCATTCCTTTGTTGTGCAGAACAAACTGAACAGCCCCCCACCTTCAACCTTTCAACTTATAACAACACACGTACAATCAGATTTCTTTTTTTAAAATAACAATAATATCTTCTGTTGTTCCCGCATGGACCTCAAAGGTCAGGGACAGCTGCATGTATCGCTAAAAGGCGCTTCAGCAGTGTGGATGCTTGTTGTCATTTAATCCTTGTCCAAACGTACACGGGTATTTTTTAAAACATAGCTTTTTCTAAGCATTTTGGCTTTAGGTCCGAACACAAACTGCATTTTCGGTCACTGAAGACAGACCTTTGTAAAATTCCAGAGTCTAGAAGAAGATTTTCAGAAGCTCAGATTTTAGTGCTGACAGGGGAAAACTGAGTTCTTGGCTTGTAACGTCATAGTGTGTGCTGTTATCTTCTTTGTGAGGTGTCAGAAATGAAGCACAATAGTGCTAGCTCTAACCTTGCTAACAGGACTTTTTACATGTGTACTAATAGAAGTTGTAAGAATGCGCTACAGAGGTCACTGCTCCAGATAGCCTTCCAGTAATAGCTATTTTTCAGGCTACTGATTGGCTTTTTTGATAACAAAGGAGGGGGAAAAGTCAAGAGAATATATAACACAAAGGCTAAAAAATACTACGAAAACCAAAGAGGCCCATTTTTGCTGTCTTTTTAGCAGGGGTACAGGGGAGATAACAGGTCAACATTAGATTCCACATGTAAGTGGTTTACATCATATGAAAGGAGGGAACCTAAAGATTAATTTGAGAAGCATCTCATCATAAATCTGTTACTGATTGATCATTATGATGAATAAGTGTACGATTGCTATTCCCATGCTCAATTATGTACCACAAGTTTTTGCAGTAGTGGTGGGGTTGATAGCATTTGTTACCAAGATCGAGAATTTGTAAAAACAAACAAAAAAGGGGTCAAAAATCCCTCCAAAATGCCACATCAAGACACCAAGACTTTGAGGAACAATGCGTGTGTGTCCTTTTGTATCACTCTGTGTCCCTTCTCACATTTTTGCGGGTCTGTGGGAGTCGCAGGGTGGATAATTGATATGTTGACATGTTCAAAGCTGATCAGATCAAATGGATGGAGAGAAGCAGCTGCTGCAGAGGCTAGTTAGACCCAGTTTAGACACAGTAGAATGAACGGTTAAGTCTCTCCATCAACGTGCCTGATGTTCTGCTGCTTCACCTGTGCCAAGAGTGCGCTCTGTGCTCGATAGTGTGGTGCTATAAATAACCAAACTTATAGATATATTTTAACAGCACTTCTAATGAACGGTTCAGCTCCAAAAATAGAAAATCTTTTTGTGGTGGCAGATGTTTTGATTGTGGCGGGTTGCTTTGTCCTGAATGAGAAAGCTGAGTGGTTTTTGTCCAAATCTGCATGGGCCTAGCATACAGTAGGCACGTCCATAAAGGGGAGAAAAATAGAACTCATTTACATTCAGATATCTTGAGGTGAGAGGTCAAGGGACCCCTGTGTTTTCCCATTTCCCAATGTAATGACTTTAAAATCGCCGTCTGGTCCTCATCAGTGCTCGGGCTGCTGTGTTCTGAACAAGTTGTAGGCGGCTGAAATCATATCACCTGTCAGACTATAGGTGCCATGAGTCGGAGTATTTGTCCTTGTTGGAGCAGTGGAACTGTGACCTTGTGTATGTGTTTGTTTGTTTGTTTGTGTGTTTATGTGTGTGTGTGTGTGTGTTTGTTTGTTTGTTTGTGTGTTTATGTGTGTTTGTTCGTTTGTTTGTGTGTGTGTGTGTGTGTGTGTGTGTGTGTGTGTAAGCAACACTGACTCAGAGCCTTCCTCTTCTTTTGTCTTCCCACAGCTCTCCTTTACAAGCCCATTGACCGTGTTACCAGAAGCACCCTGGTCCTTCATGTGAGTATGCTGCTCGCACTTACTGTACACGACTTTAAGGGATCATTTCGTCCAAATGACAGAAAAGACAGGAGAGAAACTCCATTCACTTCCATCATATCGGTGTGTGGAGACAGATAACTCAACACACTGGCACATATAACCAGTGGTGGAAATGAACTAAGTACATTTACTTGAGTACTGTATTTAAATTTAAGTACAATTTTGAGTAACTCATAGTTTACTTTCATATTTCATTTCAATGCTACTTTTTACTCATGCTATTTACTACTATGCTAATATGCTACAGTATTAGTTACTTCTCAGATTTAGAACTTGCATAGAAAATATACTATAAACTTATAAAATACACAACAACCAAACAAATCTGGTTGGAGCTCTTTGTAATGTTTCAGATGTCAATGAGTTGTTAGTACTTCCAATATTTCACAAAAGGCAAAGTTTAGAGTTTTACTTTTTGTTTTTCCTTCCCCTCACATTAATCATCTCAGGACCCCTCAGATTTATCTTGTGACCCTTTGAAAGGGGGCCGACCCCCAGGTTGAGAAGCACTGGACCAGCTTCAGCAATAAAATGCAGCTTACTTGCTGATGCATCAATATTAACAATAACAATAATATATCACATCATATGTCACAGGGGACATTTTACTGCCGAACCAGGGGTCAGTTGCACAAAGCACCTTAAGTTTGCTCCTTAAGTATGCCACTTAAAGCTCACATGAAATACCTCGCCAATAACTGACTGGAAAGATCCTGTTACATAAATCCACAGAGCCATCATTAATTGTGAAGGGACTGGAAGAGCGCAGCTTTGGAGCGTTGAGTTATCCAACCCTAGACGGTCACAGTCATTAATGGACTTCTGGTAAAATTCAAAATCACCTGCTCATCATTAAGCGTGTCCAACAGGTTCCTCCAGTCATGGAACACTCTTCTCAGGATGCCTTAATTTCTCTCATTTATCTCCATAAGCTCAACCATGTTGTGGTTAAGATGGAGTCGAGGGTAATTTAAGTTTTTGTCTTTACTTTGGTTACTAAGGTTCTTTTGTGCAACGGTTTAACAAACTTTAAGCATAAGTATAAGACCAAGATAAGGAGAAAACCTTAAATCCTTAAGGACTAAAGGATGTTTTGTGCAATTGATTTTTTTATTCTTCAAGAAAACCTTATCTCGGACATTAAGGAAAATCTTAACTCAAGGTTCTTAGTGCAACCAGCCCCGTACTTTTACTTTTGATACTTGGAGTACTTTTAGTTGAAAGTACTTTACTTTTCTTAAGTAGGTTTTTAAATGCAGGACCTTTACTTGAAATGGAGTTTTCTGGTATAGGATATGTGAAGGTACGTCACGCCGTATTGCATGCGAGTGCCATCTTGTTAGGTATGTGCTCTGTTGATTGGCCTGCTACGGTAGTTACCTCCTTATCGTATGTATTTTGCTTGGTGTTATACCCTAACAAGGACAAAGAGTGGAGAGCCATCTTTCCTTTGCAAGTATCACTGTGCTCACACAAAATTGTTCATGAGCTTCTGGACATTTGTAACTTTAAAACTTATCCAAAGGTAATGCAGTTAGTTCAGGAAATAGGTTTATTGTGATTACTTTTTGAAATATTGGCATTGCAATTCAATTCCTCTGTATAGAGTCACTTTTATTTCTCTTTTTCCTTCTACATCAGATTTGACCAAGGTAGCTTTTTAATAAACGAAACGAAAGGTTATCGGGTAACCATTGTAGCAGAGCAAATTCCTCACAAGATCTGTCCCAAAATTTTAAAACGCATGATGTCACCCTCACAGTCCCTATTCTGATGCGTAAATGATCTTTTCCACCACTGAATAAAGTAAAACAATAAAAACAACATGGCCAGATAGCACAAGAGGCAAGTGAGAAAATATGTGTTGTTGTGTCGCTCCTTTGTTTTGCATGTTGATGAACTGATCACACACACACACACACACACACAAAGCAGAATAAACAGTTTCTACCAGAAAGATTTCTGATGATAGACTCGACATTCCTCTCAGCAAATCCACTCTGGAGAATAAAATGTTGTCTCTCACACATCTTAATTCTCCATTAGTGGCTCCACACAGCAGCCCAAGTGCTAAAAAAATCAAAGCCTGCTTTTTGTTGTTTATCACAGTGTCCTCGCAGCCTAAATAAACCGACCTCTTTGGATGAGTAATAGTAATTAAGTGGGAACCGCCAATCAAGCAAGCAGAGATGCCTGGATGTGTCGAGTTATGTTACGGGAATTTATTGCACGACTACTTTTGCATAAAGCTGTCAGAACAACAACATGCCCAGTGCATCTAACGCTAGTGTGAGGGATTTTACGAAGGTCATTTTCCTGTCTTTTTATGCAAAGTAAGAGAAAATTTGTTTGTTTTGGAACGAAGACGGCATCTCAAGTCTCTGTTGTCAGCTGTCCTGCTCACCCCGCTGCTATGCAGATGAGAGCACCTTCAATAAAAACAAGGAAATGGGATTTTCAGAGATTACTTAAGTATTCACTGTGTTCGCACAGTGCAATTATGTTTTGAATAATAAGACAAAATTCAATCAGGGCTTGTGCATGCGTGGATTTTTTAGGAGGTAAAAATGAATTTCTGACAGTTTACAGAAAAAGATATTTTACTGCACCAACAAAGTTTTAAACCAAACCATGACTGTGTGTGTCTATGTCACCATTGGATTTGTGCATGTGTTGCAGGACTTGCTGAAACACACTCCTAAGGACCACCCGGACTTCCCCCTCCTGCAGGACGCTCTGCGGATATCTCAGAACTTTCTCTCCTCCATCAACGAGGAGATCGACCCTCGCAGGACTGCCGTCACCACACCCAAGGGAGAGGTGTGTGTGGTTATCTGTGTCATTATGTGTAAATTAATACCCTCATCTCTTAGTATGAATGAGATAACAATGTAGATACCTGCCAATAACTAGATAGAGTCCACAGACTGTATTTAAAATAAATAGAATAGCAGTGTTCAGTATGCTATTGTTGTTTTTGCCCAGTACTTTCCCTATTTAGGTTGATACAGCAAAAACAAAAGCCAATTGTCTGGATAATTGACTTTGAAGTTAGTTGCTGTGTCATGGTGCAAGGAGAGAGTGACCCTGGATGGAGGAAAATACTCTGCATGTAGGAAGGCAGCCAGGGATAATACTTAAATTGCCTTCTTTGACTGAGGTGTTTTCAGGACAGCTCATATCTTCCTGTCTGCCTTGTGTCCTGTCTTTTCTTTCCTTTGCAGGTTTTGACTCAACATGAAACCCTAAAAATAAATTCAGGCATATTGATCGAACACATTCCATAAAGTTAGAAGTGCTCTACAAACATGATTTGATAACCTCTAGAGGCAAAAGACGAGTACAGTTGAGATAGAGTTTATTAGAAGGTTTGGAAGTTAGGTGTATTTGGTGCCTTGGTGAATTTTCTTGTTAACAAATGAAAGTTTACATTGATGGGAGAATTCACAAAAGGATTGTGTGGCTTTTGTAGCTGCTAAACCTGTACAAATAAGACAAGCAGAAACTGTAATTCTCAAAATTACCTGCAAAGGGTGAATTACAGCCTAACTGCGCTGCCAAGCAAACAGCGCCTTGGTGCTCCTGTGCTATTTGCAGATTTTTAAATGAGGTAATATGCATAGATTTGGCGCAAAGTTTGCCCCTTTCTATGCAAATGATCAGCCCTAATAGCCATGCGCAGTTACAGTGAAAGTTTTGCGTCTTTAGAGAGTTGGTTGAGTTGGTTTGGGTGAGAAGCGGGGTACACCCTTGACAGGTCCCCAAATTATTGCTAACCTGCATATCTTTGGACTGTGGGAAGAAGCCAGAGTACCCAGAGAAAACCCCACACTGCCACGGCAGAACATGCAAGCTCTGCACAGAAGGGCTCCCTGTTTCGAGCCCCCTACCCTGGGCTCGAACCAGGAACCCTCTTATTGTGAGGCGACAATGCTAACCACTGCAGCACCGTGCCGCCTCGACTCAAATTTATTTATAAAGCACACTTAAAAACATCTCACCTTGACCAAAGTGCTGTACAAAAGGAATACGATGCTGGAAACACATACATGAGAATTAAACATAACTATCAGATACACAGCTTCACACATCAGAGAAAACCACTTCAGGGGGCTTCAGACACTATGAATAAAAGTAGGTTTTGAGCCAGGTTTGGAGCATGGGACAGCCAGGATGAAGACCAGACCATTAAGAGCTTTGTACACAAACAGGAGAACCTCAAAGTCAGTCGGTTTCTCTCTGTCACATTTAAATTCCTCACCTGTAGTTCTGAAGACTGTCTCTGCACCTCATTGGTCAGCATCTGTAACTCACAGTGCTGACAAAAAAAGAGCAAATAGCACTGAGTTGCAAAACTTAATGGGTGTGTTTGCACTGTAATATCATTAGCGCAATATCCCATGTGAATTGGACTTTGAGACAGGGTGGATAGCAGTCTCAGGTAATGCACAATTTATGGTGCTATCAGTGGCTGCGATCTATTCTGTGAATGTGCCCCTCAGTGCATTGTTTGTCTCCTTGAGAGTACTCCGATATACTGATTTAGCACCTCACTCCTATAACATTGTCGCACCCACAACAGACAGTGTAAAATAAACTAAAAAAGAGATGAATATTAATGCAACAGATCACATTTCACACATTCTCCTTCACTGTCAAAACCTGGTGCCTACATCGCTCACAATGCAACTCAACCGCCAGCTGTTGGTTCAGAGATTGGGGTGTGTTATGCTCGTCACGGCTAACATAACCTTGAGCAGCTAGCCTCGAGCAGAGATGAGCAGCAGGTTGAAGTATAGACTTCTTTCTGATTCCACTCCCCCACATTTTTTTCATCCTAACTTGTTGTCTCGTAGGCAATTCATTAGACTTCCCACAGCTCCCTCTGGAGCCACAAACGGCTTTATACAACTCCCCAAGACCTGTAAACACTCTGACTTTGATGTGCAAAATCAGTAGAGTTTCCCTTTGAGATCTAACACACATCAAATGCAACTGTGAGGCTTTCGAATAACATTTAACTAAGATGTAGAATTGCAAAGTGACTGTAAAGCAGATTTGGAGCCAATGTAGTGATTTTAGAGTTGTTGTATTTTGATCATTTTCCCCCGAGCTTGTTGAAACCCAAGCAGGGAAGGAACCAGTTAAAATCCTTGAATTGATCTCCTTGAAAACAAGGCAGCCCTTCACTCGTTTCTCTTGACATTGTTTGACCAGTGTTGTGTTCTGGTAGGCTCGTCAGCTGGTGAAGGATGGCTTCCTGGTGGAGGTGTCAGAAAGCTCCAGGAAGCTTCGGCACGTCTTCCTCTTCACCGATTTGCTGCTCTGTGCCAAGATGAAGAAGACGGCTGTTGGGTGAGTCCACTTCACCTTTCCCTCTCCATCCAGAATATCATAACAGTGTATTCACTACAGAGCCATGAATGTGTGCCTTTAAATATCCACCATATCTTAGGATGACCCTTTCTAGGTTTCTATCTGTATTGTTCATTCCACATCAGCACGTCAGCCCCAGACAGTGAAACAGAAAAGGATGAAACCGGCACTTTACCGAGGATTCTGTCTCTTTCTGTTCCTGGCTTTGCAAAGCAGAGGGTGCTTTTTTTGAAGCCTTGCTAACAAAGAGAAAGGATAGCAGGCATTTTCCCTCTGGTATTTTGGAGAGTAGCTGATATACATGGTGAACAGAGAGCAAGGATGAAGGTGCTATTCAAGAAAATGTGTACGCACAAGCAGAGGGTTGTGTGTTTAAGGAATCTCTTTGAGCTGGAGGCAAAGGAAAGCGAGGTAACACAAGCGCCGGGATTTTGTTTGAGTGTGTGTGATGCTGCATCTCAAGGCTTGACACATGTCCACAGATTAAGTGTCACATTTACAGGATTGCGTGTCGCTCGCCTCGTCAGCACGGCAGCAGCTGTTAGCCTGATTGGATCTTATTTTGGTTGACATTCATCGTTTGACTGTGTCATTTGCTGCCACCCCCTCACTTGGAGGAACACATAGCGTTGCCATAACTACCAGGCCTGTAAATTAGACTATTATAGTCTGGAGTGTTATCTCAGCATGCCGCCTACAGGCTACACACACAGGAATAGCAGCACAGACATCCAGAAACTCAGTCACATGGGGTTAAGTCACAGAGGATCCTCAATCCCACTGTATCCAGCGATTATCTCACTTCTATTATTTGTGAATCAGTCACATTTTCATTGATTCAACATGTTGACCAGTAGCCATCATTTAGGGCTATAAGTCAACTAGTCGCCCACATGTTTATGATATTAATTTAATTATGAAATGATATATTTTGGGCGGGGCAACACAATGGTTTGAGTTGAAGGTGTGAGAAAGAATAGTATCAGTAACATTGTTAACACTGTGCTACATTACAGAGAAATACAAAACCGTACTAATGAACCTTCATTAATATAGGCCTATATTTTATCTACAAGTGCACGTCACACACTGAGCGAACCGCCTGTTAATGACGCTGTGGGCTAATGGGCATGTAGCTACTTCCATGTTTCAGATGATACGTCATGTTTGTAGTCGACCAATGAAGATGAGTTTACATATCACCTTGGGTTCGTCCTTCACCTTCTCAAAATGATCCCACAATTTGGATTTCCTGCCCGACATGTTATTAACCAGCCCTGGAAATTAACCTGACTCCTGTCTGACTGTTGAGCGTGGCCACTTCCTGTGTCTGTCTTTTCAAATTCCCACACAGTCCAGTCATATAGGTTTTGATCTATTTTGACAATAGTTCCTAATAGAGTTTCATGTTTGTATGGTTTTGTTTCCTGCAACTAAGCGACCAGTGAAATCTTGCTGACTAATGACCTTTCTGGTTGATGAACATTTGGTCGACTATCAGCGGGCAGCTCTGAACTCAGTATTTTTTTCTTCCTGTTTTGAAGCAACCCCCAAAACAATTAGGACAAATAGTTTTATTAGGAATGACTTGCCCAACCCGCAGGTACAAAAGACCTTATAAATCCTTTTGACAGCTTATATTAAAGGTAGTAATATTACTAATATTACCAGAAAAGTTTCTGTGATATTAAAAACATCAGATATAAAAGTAAAACACTGACTTTTACTGAAGTAAGGTTTTAAATGCACAACTTTTACTTGAAGTTGAGTATTTTCACAGTGTAGTGTCGTACTTATACTTTAGTAAAATATCTGAAAACATCTTCAGTCAGTGGATTTTAGTTGTAGCAAATGAGAATTTTGTTTCCAGTGTGGTTTCTTATTATCAAACTTCTTAAATTGGCCCTCTGATGAAGGCGTCGCACCGGTAATGAGTTGACTGTGCTGCACCCAGGAACACTAATGAAAGTCTCATTAGTGACAATGCAAATCAATCCTCTCTGCACACTGCTGAGCGTGCATCATTTTCATTAATCTAGGCATTGTGACTACGTGAAAAGGCTGAACATTGCTCCTTAGTTTGGCGTGTTTGGATCGAACTAGTCTCAAGGTCAGATGAGTACGCTTTTGAATAGAAAAGCAGCGCATTTGTGAGTAGGGCCTTAAACTGCAGTTCTCATTTGTAAGGCTCACAGGATGTTGTGTGTTTTACTAAAAATAGAAACGAAATGAAACTGTTGAACTTTTTTTATTTTAACGACGTGAAGTCAGTAATTACAGTAAAATGAATCATGTCATTAATCATCTCTTACTAGGAATGATTTTTCTGATAAGAGATGAGAATTTCCGCACATTGTCCTGTTACTTGCAGTGAACTTTATTTAAATACACAGTGTCTCAGCTAGACCTTCATCAACAAAAAACATTTCAAAACACATATCGACAACACCTGGTTGGTGACAACAAATGGTTTGGTGACTCTAAAAAAAAAGAGGAAGGATTTATTGTACCATTATCTGACTAATTGTGTTTCATATTCTCCTTCTGAATCCCCTGTCTGCAGTCGCCATCAGCAGTATGAGTGCAAGTGGTACATTCCTCTGGCAGACTTGACCTTCCAGACCCTGGACGACTCTGACTCCTGCCCCAGTATCCAGGTCCTGCCCGAGCACGAGATTGAGGAGATGAAGATCAAGATCTCAGTCTTAAAGAGTGAGATACAGAAAGAGAAGGTAATCCTGCTGGCAGTTACTGGCGTGTGAAACTTTTTTAATTTTCTGGGGTTGGTGATCTCTGAGCGGGACCTTTAGTGGTTCCTTAAAATGAGTCATTAGCTGCTTCCCTATTGTGTGAGAAACACAAACACATACAAATGACTCAGGAGGGACTTTTTGACTGATGTGTCCTGCTTGAAGATATTTATCGTGGCATGCACAGACATTCGTGGAAGACTCCCTCGTATCAGTAATTCCGTGCTGGAAACACGGCTCCTTCCTTTTTACCTCAGTGCTTGTCATCCACACCTTTGTTTGTCTTAGACAGGATCAGGTTTAATGCGTCATGTAGGGAAACTCTGTGAGGCCGATAACGAGACATCCAAAAAATTGATCCAGAAACTGGGAAAAAATGTGAAACTTGAAGGTATAGTTTGATGTAGGGTTGTATGAGGTACTTATCCAACAACTAACACTGTTTTATTTTGTACTGTTTCAATGGTCACTGGCCTACCACTGCCTACATCAGTTTATTTGTGTTATTGTGTGGCTTTTGTGAATCTGAGCTAACACCAAAGTCACACAACAACACAATCAAACCGATTGAGGCAGCGGAAGACCAGCAGCTCCTGTGTTCTGCAAGGTAGAATTACTGTTTTTGTCAAAGCTGTCTGGCGGCTTTGAAGAGTACATAGATAACAGCTTCAGCTCCCTGTCAGAGAGGGCTGTCTGATGGCGAGGTAAAGCGGTAAAAGTAGGGCTGTCAAGCGATTAAAAACATGAATTGTTTACATGCTCTGTGATTAATTAATCTAAATTAATCGCATATATGAACTTTTGTTGAAAGTATTTAAAAAACTTTTGAGGCACAGTTGTCCCCCTGTCCTCGAAGGGAGTTAGTCAGTCGGTCACAGGTAGACTTGCTCAGTTTGCATCTGATCGCCTGGTCGAGTGTGGCTTGACGAGGCTAGCTGCTAGTGCTAGCATCAGAGGCTGTGCTAGCTCGGACCTCCAGGTTCACTGCAAAATGCTTTGCACTGAGGTGATGTTTCAGGCTTGAAGTACTCCGATGGTACGGAAATCCTTAGCGCAGACATTGCAGAGAACGGTGCTCCTGTCAACAGTTCTATCTGGGCGTTTTTTAATTGTAAATGTTCTATTCAAATGGCTGAGCATCATCTCGTCTGCCTCCATCATGTGACAAAGCCACTGTGGCCTTCATATCGCAGCAGGTCAAAGGGCACCACAGAACATGATTAATCAGCATAATATTTTTTTTGAACTTGTTATTTTTTCTGTGATTAATTAATCAAAATGAATGCGCTATTTTGACAGCCCTAATTCTAAGTATAGCATACACTTTGCAGTACATTGCTTAGCTTCCTTGGCAGTACTCCAGTCTGCTTCTCCGAACTGGGAGTGTGCCTCGACTGTGGGTAATACACTGACTATGGAAAGGTACCTCATACAACCTAAATTCAAAAAAATAAATAAATAAATAAATTAAACTATCCCTTTAAATCAAAAACTTTTGAAGTTCCTCCTAATCTCCAAATTGTTTCTGCAATTTGCACCACAGATCGGATTGCTGCGTCACACTTGTGCTTGCAGTCAAGATTCAACATTCAAGAACTTTTATCCTCAGTGGTGCTTGCTAGTAAAAAGAAAAGAAACCTTCACACATTTTACACAAGAATTACGACATGAATGTAAGTGATTATAAATGTAAATATTTGCCATTGCATCAGCCCTTCTCGTTAATTCCTACCAGTGCTAAAACATTCAGTGAGTGACAGAGGTTAAAAAAAAAAGCTGCTACAAGTCTGTACAGTAATCGCCCCCGCGCCCCGGGCTGAGACACATTGAAGGCTCCAGGAGCAGACAGTTCCTGTTATTCCCCTCTCGCAGTGGTAAACTCGCCCACCCAGGGCACAGCGAGTGACCACGGCTGGTATTTCGAGTCAGAGGAGGCCAGATTGGTCTGATTGTATCTAGGCTGTGAGTCACGGCTTCCTGGTGAGGGCTGGGAGGATGTGTGTATTTGTTTTCCTTCAATTCTGAGGAGAAGCTGAGATCCTTGAATTATATATAAAGACTCTTACAGCACTGTGCTCACTTTCAGGGGCTTATCCATAGTCTTTGCTGGTCTAGTTGCCATAGATATTGGTAGATTGAAGTATGTGTGTAAGTGTGAGTCACGCTGAAACTAAAAATATATATGTGCATCATGTCATGTGTGTTAAAATTCTAAGTTATGACTGGAGTTGGACTCCAGTTTCAGCACTGAATGAGATTCTGTGCGTCATTTTGGTTGTTTGTGTGTTTAGAAAGCACCGAAGGGTCAGAGTCGCGTGGAGCGTCTGAGGAAGAAGATGAATGAGCAGGAGTCGTGGCTGCTCCTGCACTCTCCCACCATCCCCTTCCGCATCCACAACAAACATGGAAAGGTACATGTGTTCGTCCCGACACTCTCTGCATCCATGTAGCTGCAACACTCAACTCTTGCCACTAGAGGGAGGCATGTACCTTTTAAAAGAGTCCTTTATGATTGCTCAGATTTAGGTTTCCAAAATAAAAATCTTGTGGCAGCATGAGATATTTTCACATCATGGTGTTTTTAAGGTGCATCTAGGTTATGTATAAAATCTGCAATAATTTATTGAGTGGGATTTTTTTCACGTCTTCTATTAATGATTTGTAGAGGAGACAGTGTTTCCTGCAAGATTTGGTGAAACAGTTAATTTAATCATAAACACATTGATCATGTAGATATGAGTGATGATGACTCAGCATAAAGTCACACCCACAAAGCATGGACTGGGTTTAAAGCAGTTCACAAATGGTCAAAATACAGAATCAGCTAGAGCGTACATCTGTGCCACCAAAGAAATTAAGCAAAAGTGAATTCCTGTGTTGGCCTGGTTAATAAAAAATACACTGCATGAGGCACATTGTTATTTCGCTATTCCACTTTGAAGTTAAAAAAAGAAAGCTTTTAGCCAAACATAGACCTGTTTTAAGGGGCCAAACCAAACTGTAGCACTTGATGGGTATTCTCAGGACATCGTTAAAGGGTTTTAGAAGTCTAGGCTTCATGCATGGGGCCTTTAAAACATATTCATTTCTTATAGGTGGAGGACACAGTATTGATTAACTTTCCCTTTATCCCTGCTGGCAAACTTTGCATCCTTAATTTGGATATTTAATTTCCATAGATTTTGAAAGGAAAAAAAAAAGAACAGTTCAAATGCCCTTTTTGTACTTAAACTTTGCAGTGTAAGCAGTGAAAGCAAACAAATCTGTCCACGCACTCTGACGTTTTCTATTTTCCTCTGAGACGTTTTTCTTTTTTGGACTTGGAATCAATAGCTAGCCTCACTAAGGAGACTCAAGGTTAGCCAACGCCATTGAGATCTGGCAAATTTTAGGAAAAGGCGCCAGCCTGTAGATGTGTGACACATAGTTGATGAGACATTAAAACATTTTTATTCAGCGTGTAGGCTACACATTTATTCAATTAGAAAATGTAAGAATCACTTTAAGGCTACAATAATGATAAATGAAAATTAGATAAGAAATTACTTTTAGTCATTTCTATATAATTAACAATGAACACGGGGAATTCTAACCAGGAGACGTTTTGGCCGGTTGCAATCTGCATTCCTCACTGCTAGATGTCACTAAATCCCCCTAAATCGTACACACTGCTCCTTTAATGAGAAACACTGTCAGAGATTTAACAGTATTTTTTTCCTGTGTATTCAGAGCTACCTGTTCCTCCTCTCCTCCGACTACGAGAGGTCAGAGTGGAGGGAAAGCATCCAGAAACTCCAGAAGAAAGGTAACGCTGGCCTTGAATAAATTCTGTCCTCAGAAAACATTCTCTGCTTCGTCAAGTGGTTTCAAACCACTTTGTACAAACTGACTGCACCACAGGAAAGTGAAAGTTTGACCGTGTCTGTGTGGTTACTGTGTGTTCTTTCCAGATCTCCAGTCCTGTGTATTAAGTTCTGTGGAGCTCCAGGTCCTGACCAGCTCCTGTTTCAAACTCCGAACTGTCCACAACATTCCTGTCACCAGTAACAAAGACGGTAAGAAACACACACACAGTATCTTCTTTATTCAGGTCCTCTTATGTGTGGGTGCTTTGTATGTTTCTCTTGCTTTCTCCTTTTTTTTTGCCCAGCAATCACAAACACACACACAGTGCTCCTTCCTCTCCTCGCTCTGCTTTGAGTTTAAATTCACACAAAAGTGCCTATTACACTCTCAGCACAAAAAAGCCACATAATGAGAGAGGGGGGCCTTGCAGGAGAGAATCTAGGTTACAATATGTTTCTCATCTAGCTTGTAGCAGTCAATGCCACGCAGTGTGCCGGCGGTGGCCTGCGCTGAGCTCCCAGCTCCTATATGTTTGTTTTTGCTCCAGATCTCTGCGTTGCAACACTTTCAGAGGCTGGTGGTGACATTAAAGCCATCTGGCCGACCTACTCTGATCTCCCTAAATGCCACCAGGGTCTCTGCTTTCACGTGCACACACAATGCACATGTATAGCCACAGAGCTGACAGAAAAGCACACTGTCTTAATCTTTTGCATCATAGAGAAAAATGTTTCTTCTCTTGTACAATGGTATGTCTGTACAAGTAGGCCGTCATTTTGACCTCCAGCAGCTTTAAAGTGGTGATGATAGGGATTCTTGGTTTGTATTTTTGTTTCTGCATTCTGGTGAACTTCACTGGACACTGGAGCTTTTTCAGATGTTGGTGGCCGGCTCAACCCTGAAGTGTAGTACTGTGACTTATTTTCTTTAGTACACATGCTAATGACTTAGTTCCTTCTTTAATTATTATCTCTGCAGGAGATCAAGCATTTAGACTATGTGTTTTATCACATATGTGCTTCTTTATGAGCACATTTCAGAAACAGAGGCAGCTCAAGGTTCTTTAATGAAGTCTGGTATGAGATAAAAAATAGAAAGTTTAAACCAAAACCATAATAATGATAAGAAAAAAGAGTTTTGTTCCAACACTTGGCATAATAACTAAAAAACAGCTTCACAACTATATCATACAATACTTTCATTTTTGCAAGGACAGGTGATCATAGATGTGACACTTTGGCAGAACATAAAAAGACACCTTTTATTTCAGTAGTTTGCCCTCTTTGTGAGTGTTGAAATGTTGAAGGTGTTCTACATTTATAGTTCCCGTCCTGTAGCAGAGATAAAAGAGTCTGTGAGGAGGCAGATATCAGATTTAACCAACAAATCCCTCAGATTGATATTTCACTCAGAAGTCATGATGGGAGGTTATTCAAATGCACTTTTATAGCTCTTATCCAAAAGTTGCCGGTGACGCCTTAAAATCTATTCAAAGCATTTTGAGCTTTGGGCTGTAAAAATATGCGCAATGTCTTTTTATCCACCGATTTGCTTGATAGATATATATATATATATATATATATACATACAGTACAGGCCAAAAGTTTGGACACACCTTCTCATTCAATGCGTTTTCTTTATTTTCATGACTATTTACATTGTAGATTCTCACTGAAGGCATCAAAACTATGAATGAACACATGTGGAGTTATGTACTTAACAAAAAAAGGTGAAATAACTGAAAACATGTTTTATATTCTAGTTTCTTCAAAATAGCCACCCTTTGCTCTGATTACTGCTTTGCACACTCTTGGCATTCTCTCCATGAGCTTCAAGAGGTAGTCACCTGAAATGGTTTCCACTTCACAGGTGTGCCTTATCAGGGTTAATTAGTGGAATTTCTTGCTTTATCAATGGGGTTGGGACCATCAGTTGTGTTGTGCAGAAGTCAGGTTAATACACAGCCGACAGCCCTATTGGACAACTGTTAAAATTCATATTATGGCAAGAACCAATCAGCTAACTAAAGAAAAACGAGTGGCCATCATTACTTTAAGAAATGAAGGTCAGTCAGTCCGGAAAATTGCAAAAACTTTAAATGTGTCCCCAAGTGGCATCGCAAAAACCATCAAGCGCTACAACGAAACTGGCACACATGAGGACCGACCCAGGAAAGGAAGACCAAGAGTCACCTCTGCTTCTGAGGATAAGTTCATCCGAGTCACCAACCTCAGAAATTGCAAGTTAACAGCAGCTCAGATCAGAGACCAGATGAATGCCACACAGAGTTCTAGCAGCAGACCCATCTCTAGAACAACTGTTAAGAGGAGACTGCGCGAATCAGGCCTTCATAGTCAAATAGCTGCTAGGAAACCACTGCTAAGGAGAGGCAACAAGCAGAAGAGATTTGTTTGGGCCAAGAAACACAAGGGATGGACATTAGACCAGTGGAAATCTGTGCTTTGGTCTGATGAGTCCAAATTTGAGATCTTTGGTTCCAACCGCCGTGTCTTTGTGAGACGCAGAAAAGGTGAACGGATGGATTCCACATGCCTGGTTCCCACTGTGAAGCATGGAGGAGGAGGTGTGATGGTGTGGGGGTGTTTTGCTGGTGACACTGTTGGGGATTTATTCAAAATTGAAGGCACACTGAACCAGCATGGCTACCACAGCATCCTGCAGCGACATGCCATCCCATCCGGTTTGCGTTTAGTTGGACCATCATTTATTTTTCAACAGGACAATGACCCCAAACACACCTCCAGGCTGTGTAAGGGCTATTTGACCAAGAAGGAGAGTGATGGAGTGCTGCAGCAGATGACCTGGCCTCCACAGTCACCGGACCTGAACCCATTCGAGATGGTTTGGGGTGAGCTGGACCGCAGAGTGAAGGCAAAGGGGCCAACAAGTGCTAAACACCTCTGGGAACTCCTTCAAGACTGTTAGAAAACCATTTCAGGTGACTACCTCTTGAAGCTCATGGAGAGAATGCCAAGAGTGTGCAAAGCAGTAATCAGAGCAAAGGGTGGCTATTTTGAAGAAACTAGAATATAAAACATGTTTTCAGTTATTTCACCTTTTTTTGTTAAGTACATAACTCCACATGTGTTCATTCATAGTTTTGATGCCTTCAGTGAGAATCTACAATGTAAATATTCATGAAAATAAAGAAAACGCATTGAATGAGAAGGTGTGTCCAAATTTTTGGCCTGTACTGTATATATTTGTTTCACTCACAGAGTAGTCTGGTTAATGATGTTAACTGCTTTGTCAGGCTCCAGGATTTTTTTTTACTTACATGGTAACTTGTCTGCTGACTTGATCTGCTGTGTAAGGACTTCGTCATTTTGCTTAAGTTTGTAGATAGTTTCCTTTTTGTCCCGGGGAGGTGATATCCCTGTGTGTTAAAACACAGCTCAGACCCCACATCTTGTCCTGGACTTTAAAACGCTCCTCATTATAAAGCAAACATAAACACACACCTCAGTGACATGTGAAGCAGGGAGCACAGTAGGAGTTTAAATGGAGACCAGCTGGGGAAGGAATGTCTCATAATAACTAAAAGGATGGATAAGATGGCAGAGAATTAAAAACTCACACTTGGATTTGACGCCTCAATTATCACATACTAGTTAAATGAAGTCGACAGTTTATTGTTCAAGTAAGATTATCATTAAAAGATCTTGATTCTCACTCTAAAAGCAGGACACACTGTAGGCCACCTCGAAGCTGAACCTTTGAACCTTCTTCCTGTGAAACTCCCGTCGCTTACATACAACACACACACACACACACACACACACACACACACACACATTGACTGACTGCTCTCCTCTCTGCCGCCTACAGTGGAGCTCCAACGGTCCTGTGGCCCTCCATCATAGTTTATTTACCAAGATACAGCCAGGCCTTAGCCAAAGCAAGAGTGTATCCCCTTCATGTCGTGTCGGCGGGGAGGCGGGGGGTATATCAGGCCACCCAACGAACATCCACCCACAAATCTCACTTGGCGGCCAGCTCAGTTGTTATGACAGAAGATTGTGCTTGTTGATGTGAGGTCTGATACCAATCTGAGGAAAGTTTGTGATCACAGTTAATTATCACTTCAAGTTTGATGTGTCTCTTCTTCGGGTGAGAGCATTTATTATTTAAATAATGATCTGTATATAATGAAGATAGAATAATGACTTTAGATAAACCAACTTGTTAAAAATCACTCCTTTCAGCCTGATGAATCCCTCTTGTTCATGAGGAGTTTGTTAGATTGGATTATTCCGTTGTCACTCTTGGCCACGCCAAGTAAAGCCATGCTGCGTCGATTTGTGTTTCCATCGTCAGTTTAGACACGCCGTGGCACGCCAAGCCGCGTCAGAGATAGACTTTCCCTGGAGTAGGTCCAAAAGCCGGGCCGCTTGCTCTCATGCAGGTAGCAGTGACGTCTCCCCGACCACAGCCAACTCCTGACGACCCCCGTTCTCCCCCTGAAACAAACATGTGTTTTGCGACGCTCCACCTATGTCTGCAGGAGACCAGAGAAAAATGCGTTTTAAAAGCTGTTTACTGTTTCATGCTCACTATCAGCTGCATTAGAAGTTGTGTGAAGTTACTGCTCGAAAACTCAACATTTCCTTATTTTGCAGCTTCACAATAAAAGTTTTCACATAATAAAATAATGGGGGACTTTTATTGTGAAGAATCTATCGGAAATTAAATGTGTTATCACTGAATTAGCGGAACTTTGTTGGCAGCTTTTCTTCAATGAAGGCAAGTCTGATAATATGCCAGGGAGGAAAGTGAAAGCAGAAACAGCTACAGTGAGATGTTGATGAAGAGCTGCAGACAACAGGCTCTTACTGTACCTCTGCAAACAGCTCACCTCCAACAGGTAAACTTCTTTTACCTGCCCCCACATGCAGCAGAAATAACAGGGAACTTCAGCCGTGGATCAGCACTCTGCTTTCAAACATCATCACTCAAGACAAGCCATCATCAGTTTACCTTCAAGAAAGTAGCCCTGCTGTAATGGAAATGCAAATCCCTGCTGTGCTGGGCTGACGGCCCAAACCAAGCCAAGCCAAACCAGCCCATGACTGTTGAAAAGGGGTAATACAGTACACCCTAAAATTGCCATTTAAAGCTGCCTTTTCTGCTGCATTTCTGGCCAGGTTCCCAAGAGTAAAGAAAGACTTTTTTTGGTATAAGAGGACCTGAAACAAAAGAAAGAATTAATAGCACAGCTGTCAATGACATGTCTGATTGACACTGTGAGAGAAATAAAGAGGGAGTGCTTTGATACGGAAAAAACGTTTCTCTAAAGCAAAACGGTCCATGACTAATGTGAGAGGCAGTCATGATGGGATGTGACAGTCATGGAGATATGACACAAGAGAATATTACAGCCTGCAGCAGGTGATGTTACACTGCCAAGGCAATAGAGGATGATACAGGAGAGTGTCTGTTTTCTAACTGTGCGAGTATTTCTTGGGTGTTTGAGATTGAAACGAGACAGTAGTGCTCTGTGGGCTTTTTTCCTCTCTGTTTCTGTGTGTTTATCTTTGCACTGTTCTATGTACACAAACTCCCTTTCTTAATGACTTTTAAATGCAGCACGTCATCATATTTACACGAGGAACACGACTTGACTGCTCTGTGTGTTCTTGTTTTCCAGATGAGGAGATTCCTGGCCTCTACGGCTTTCTGCATGTGATCGTCCACTCTGCCAAAGGATTCAAGGAGTCAGCCAGTAAGTCGGCCAGAAACAGCTTTTTTTGTGTGTGTGTGTGTGTGTGTGTGTGCGCACACTCTGGCTAAGCGTCCCCCTCACACATAGCTGCTGTGTAGATACGTGTCTGCCAGCGAAACACATGATCCAGTCAATCACAGCAGTCGGCACATGCAGTTTCCATCATGCTATAGCCCAACGCAGAGACGGCCAGATGGATGGATGGGGAATGAGAGTGAAGATGATAGAAGAGGGAGAAAAAGAGAAGTTGAAGCCACTGTGGAATTCCTGTGGTTGTTTTCATTTAGCACACATCACAAAAACACTCGAGGCACATTAAAAGGAAAGAGAGACCAATTGTTTTGAAACTGAACTGCTGGCAAACATAACGGCAGTTGTCTCTGATATCGCATACTTTACACAAATGCTCCTTTGTATAACAACGTGTGCGGATGCAGCTCCAAGTGTGTTTATTGTCAGCCGAGTGCGATGTTGGCAGGAATGTGCAGACGTGTCAGTAGTGGACAGCTGGTGCTTCGGTACACTTTGTGCCCTGTTGCAGCAGTTCAAATATCAAATATCTGGAAAAGAGAGTGAGATGAAGAAATGTGATTTCCTCTGTTACCATGACAGCCTTTAGAATATGAAAGCCGGCCCGCTAGAATTTCCCGGGTAATGGATTGGAAAGCTCTCTCCTCTGAAAGCCTGTTTGATCCTCGATGGAGCGCGGAGAGCTGAAGGGTTTAAAAATGAAGAAAAAAAGAGTATGCATGTGTGTGTGTGAGTGTGTTGAGGGAAGTTTGGTGGTTTTACTGATACAGTTTGATGTCAGTGTGTCCAGTGAAGCGTGTAAAACCAGGGTGGGGCATGCAAGCCGTGAAGGTAGTGCGAGGTAGCGGATGTGTTGTTGTTATGGGTCACTTTGGTGGTGGTGGTAGTGATAATGGCCATTACAGAAGTGTTTTGTGTCAGAGTAGAATAAAATGTCCCTCTAAATGGGGGTCAGACATAAACAAAACGTAGCCTAATCATCAGGATTCTGGTAAGGCGTGAATGTGCGTACTGTAAATGCTGTTTACCCAAATCTCACAATCTCAAATGGCATTTAAGTAAACCCCCTTTGGGGGTTTATGCAGAGTTTAAACATGTTGAAAACCTTTCTTGTACTTTTTCTTTTGTAAGTCCTGGGATCACTCACACCACCCACTTGTGCCAGGTGAGGAAAACAAACCTCCTCTTCACTGTATCCAGCAAATAAAGTAACTGATGTTGGTTTCCTGCAGCAGAAAGACAAGAGTTCAGAGAGCACAGACTTCCCACAGTTATTAAAATATGCTGCATGATATTATTAGATTACAGACCATAAGTGTGATTATCAGCCAATATGTGCAGCTTCAGCTTTAAATAGGACTGAATCATTCAAAGCTTCGAACCATCATAAAATATGATGACAAACATTTTGAGCTTTATTTGAACACCCCAATAGAAGCTTCGAATGTAAAAAATGACCTTAGATACAACCCTACATTTGAGAGATGGAAAAGACAATATTAATAGTTCATGATTAATTCTAAAGTATACTTCAGTTCAGTTTACACAACACACTCCTACATCACTGAGTTCTTAAATTCAGCTGTGTTCAAAGCGTTGCTCTGTCATAAAGTCACATGCTGCTGCACCTGTGTTTTTAGATTAGGAATTTGCTGTGTGGATGACTGTGTTTTATATGTGTGTGTTTGAGTGTGGGTGTATATGTGCATGTGTGGGTAGTTAAGCATTTATATGTGGGAGTCTACTGGCTGCGCCCAGGATGCTGAGATGAGCAACTTTTATTCACCACTACAGCTGTTCAGCATCAGTTAAACTTTAATATAAAACTCTATTGGCACTATTATCATGCAGTTAATTCTTTTAATGAACACAAACTTTTTACATAACTTTTTAAAAACTTTTTTTATAAACTTTACCCACATGCTGCATTTCAATTTTTCCAGTAAACTATTAAATTGTCTTGTGTTGCATTATTAGTCACTTCAAGCCTTCTATCATCTGGTTTAAAGTCGTGATACATTCTTTTAAAGTTGGTTTACTTTTGGCAGATCGAGATCAAACATCATATTTTGAGTTTTGGTTTTCAACTTCAAGTTCTAGTGCTGTATTTTGCATCTACTGTTATGTTATTTTAGTCTTTATTTCAAGAACGCCTTGATGGAATTTCTTCAAATTTGGCGCAAACGTCCTTTTGGACTCAAAAATATAATGATTAGATTTTGGTGTTCATAGGTCAAAGATCAAGGTCACTATGCCCTCTTCTGTCTCATCTTCATGATCGCAGTATCTCAAGAACACCAGGAGGAAATTTCTTTAGATTTGGCACAAATGTTCACTTGGACTTTAGAATGAACTGATTATATTTTGTTAGTCAAAGACCACACTGACCTTACAAAATATGTTTTTGACATTTAATATCCAAAAGGTCAACTTCACTGCGAATGTTTTGCAATAACACTTTTCCGACCATTACTCACCATCATAACTCAGAAACAGACATTTGGTCAGATAATTAATTGGTGACACTAATCTTTGGTGCTCACCTTGAAACTGTGCTGACTGTATAGATCTTCTGTGCTGTTGTGGGGAAGATGTGTGTGAACTAGCCATGTTTTCACAGACATGGACGGCAGTTTCAACCGCAAAGCGAAAATTCTAGTTGCAACTGCTGCAGCAATTTCCCCCAGGATAAATAAAATCTTATCTTGAGAGGTATCTCGTCCTCGGTGTCCGATAAACATTGAAATACCTAAATTCTAATTGCATTGAAGGTTAGAGTTGGGAGACAGTCGTAGCAGCAGTGTGTTGTTTTTACTCCTTTCAGAGATAGATGGATGTTTGTAATATTTGTTAATAACACTGTAGAGTCCTCGTTATGAAACCCGTCCAGCACTGGCAGAATTTCCCATTTCTCTCATTTCTGTTTTGAAAACAGCCCTATATGAAACCACAAATCGCTGAAATTACACAGTTTCCTCCACATGTAGCTTAATGATGGGATCAAATGTTACTTGTTATGTACAGTAGATGTTGTGTAGTTGAGCCTGTGTGTGTTAGAGGTTCACTGTGGTTTCCCTTGCAATGTCAATGTCTCCTTCACTGTCTCTACTTAAAGCATACCGTGCGTTCTTTACAAGAGTTTTGGAGCAATTTGCTGCTCTTTTGCATAATAGTGTGCGTACAGTGTGTGCTCTTGTGTCCATATGGTAATTATTATCATATCAGAATTTCAAAGTGTAATGAGTGGAATTAGCTATCATTATTCAGTGGTTCAGATTGTTAAGTAGACGTGTAATCATCAACAATAGCCTCTAATTGTTCCTGATTTGATTGAAAACTCACAGAAGCATGTACCAGAATATTTTATTGGAGCTGTGTTATTTGTGTCACAGCGATCCCCCCCAGTGGGAAAGGGCTTTAAATTCAGCCCAGGGCAAAGTAGTCAAACTGGGTCACAGAGGAGGGAGCTGGGAGTCGAGCATCTCCCCAAAACTCTGTTAGAATAAAAAATGAGTGGAAAACATGACCTAGTAGAGAGGTGCAAAACATGTTCACTTTGTTCTTGGGTTTATTTTTGAGTTTGTGTGAGTGTCAACAAGTGACACTGCATTGTTCCCTCGATATGTATTCAACAGCTGCTGCAACAAACTGAAGTTGTCTGTGCTAGAAAGAGTGTGTGCAGATCTAGATTGAGCTGCTACACTTATATATTTCACAGTTGTGTTTTTTAGGTTATACATGAATCAGTAGTAGTTCAGTGTTCAGTGTCAGTGTTTCATTGCCCAGACAAGTAGGTGTATATATACTGCAGGTAAATACCTCTATACCTCTTTATCTCTAGATAGAGATATTAAAAACAGTGGCGTGTGTGTATATATATATATATAAAACCGCTGATCCTCTTGAGGGTCACAGGGGTGCTGGAGCCTATCCCAGTTGACATTGGGCGAGAGGTGGGGTACACCCTGGACAGGTCACCAGACTACCACAGGGCTGACACAATTTAGAGTCACCAATTAACCTGCATGTCTTTGGAGCCTGAGTACCCAGAGAACCCTCCACCCCGGGTTCGAACCAGGAACCCTCTTGCTGTGAGGCCACAATGCTAACCACTGCATCACCGTGCTGCCCCAGGTGTCCCACAACAGAGCCCGCCATTGGGTCAGTGGTTCTCCCCTGAACCTCCCCACCCATGCGGGCGGTGGAAGCTCCGGCAAACACGACGTTTCTCGAACCCTTGCAGCCGCGTCGAGAGGGGCCCCGCTGCCAGCGTGGGGCCGCCCTATGCTCAGAGTCACCTCGGCCCAGCCCGTCCCCTCGGGTGGGCCCCCAGCACAAACACCCCTGACCCCCAGACGGGCGCCTGCGCTGAACTTAATTCACATGTGATGTACTGTATATAACTAATAATGGAATAATAGTGCAGTTGCTACCAGACAAAAGAAAGTTATATTTATTTATTTTTAGTCTTACGGTACTTTTTTACTCATAAATCAGGACCAAATCTTTCATCAGTCGCCACTGTTCCCATAAAAATTACAGACGAAACAGTGCTGTTAGTGTTCACGTGCTCTCATGACTGCATGTAATCTAATTCAGCCATGGCTGCATGCATTCCCATTCATTATCTGCCATGCTTTTATTAGTTTTCTCCTTCTGGATTCTATGAAAACAATTAAGTTGTGCCTGTTCTCCCCTCATTTTGTTCTCTCAGAAGACTATTTTCTCCTGAAGCCTTCAAAAAAAACATACAAACAGATTTCTTGTCCTGGTGACTGGGACTTGCAGCTGTAGAGACACAGTTTAGTTTAACTGATTATCACTTGTCTCCCATTTCTGTGAACCCATGGTTTGACCCAGCACTCAACACAGCCCCAGGCAAAGATTAGCCTCCTGTATAAAAACACACACACACCACAAGCGCTGCAGTGCTCAGTTAATTGAGATGGAAGAGGATGGTATTCATTAAC